GCCATGGGGACGCGGCCCGAACTCGCCGCGGCCGGGACGCGGGGCGGGGGGAAAATGGCTCGGCTGCGGCGGCGGGCGCGGCCTTGCGGGGGCTCCCCGGGTCACCGCTGTCCCGCAGTTACGCATCGAGCGTCTGCTCACTACACCGAGGGCTCCCGAGCCCCCATTCTGGGTCCTTTCCTCTCGTGGCTCTCACTGTCTAGCCCAGTGTCCGGCACCCAGCAGGGTCGGAGAAACATTTGTTGAATGAGTGAAAGAACGAAATAAGGAAAGAGCAAATAGAAAGAGCTGGGAGGAGGGGAGGGTTCTGCATCCAAGTTCCTTAAAACTCCCCCTGGCCTTCCTCCCTCTTACCTACGTTTGAAATGGTATGAAAAATTTGAAATAGACTAGGGGTAAAGAGAGCTGCCTTTCTATTCACCAAGGTGTCTTCCAGCTGGGAAGAGCTGGATTTTTTTTTTAACTGCATTGCTCAGAGCACAGCTACTCTGGTCGCGATAACAGCAGCAACTATACCTGTCTTTCCAATCCAGCGCATTGGGGCCTTAGAACAACTCTGCGAGTTAGGCGGAGCAGACAGAGTTGCCTCCCTTTTAGGGAGAAGGAAATAGCTCCGAAGTGGGGGAACGCGTACGGAATCCAGAGTGACTGATTCCAAATTCTTTCCTTTTTCACCAAATTCCAAGAATAATTGATGAGAGAAGCTCTGTCTCACGGTCTTGATTTCAAAGAAATGGTAAGAGAGAATATATACTTATATACATATGCATACACACACACACATATATATAGATATATACACATTTTTTTTTCTACTGATACCTTGAATATTTTTAAGCACTTGAATTTTGTGTTTGGATAATATTCTTGCATCTATTTTAGGAAGAGAATTCCTTCCTAATACATCCAGTCGATTAATTTTTAATTCTTAAAATCTTTTATTTGCAATCCCCTTTCATAACATTAACACTAATTTGCTGCTTTAATATGGCTGTCAATTTAATACTGACCCCAATCCCTCTATCCAGGTTCCATCTGAATTACAAGAAACCATTTGCTGTTTCTTGACAAATTGAGTTTCATAGATGAATTGTGTAAAGTAACTCAGGTTATTAGTCCTAATAAGTGTTTCATAGCTCTAGTATTATGATTGAATGAAGACAGTGATCATTTCATTTTAACTTGAAACTTCATTATTCTGAAAACCTTAGTCATATTCTTTATTCTTGTCTAAACTGAATGGGTCAATGTATTTGTTCTGATCTGGGGAAGGAAACTAGGAACAAAATTTAATAAAGTTTCAGGATGCCCAATATCACTCATGCTGTGAAGCTCTTTACCATTGGTAAGTACTTAGCTGTTTACTATTTCCTTAGATGCTCAGCAATACCATGTGACACAAGTGTAACAGGTGTTATTATAGCTCCTTTTAGCAGATTAGGAACCTAAGGCTTAGAGAGAATAAAGGATTTGTCCAAGATGGTACATCTAGTTCAAGTGCAGCTAAGATATGAACCCAGATCATCTTGCTCCAAATCAAGTGCTCTTCAAACGTGTCCAAAAATTAATGTTGAGAAGGTCTCTTTAGCAGTCAGAATCTTACATAGGTATCTGTAGATGTATTTAAAGCCACATTTTCACAAGAAAGAGTACGTGTGGGCAGGGCTCGCAAAGCATAAGTATGTGAGAGTTCACATACTGTGATGGATTTTAAGGAAATTTAAATATAGAATAGAAACACCCCTTCCAATTTAATAGGAATAAAGCCTTTCATTTCTGGATGAGACTTAAGGCTTAAAATGCAAAGACCTACCCCTCCCACCTCTCTCCCAACTCCCACCCCGCAAGTAAGAAGTAACTGCAAAGACTTGAATTTACCCTGAAATGTACCTGACTATGATTAGATCTTTTCAGGTGAAATTGTTTTGAAAGGGAGGAGGAGAGTGGAAAGTCCCTGACTCTAAAGAAGGGCAAGAGTGTGACCAGGTGCTAGTGAGAGGTGGCAAGAGAGCTTAGTCCTGAAAGAGAATTGGAGGACACAGGAAGGTCAGAATAAGATATAAAATACAACCAGAAATGGTCAAAAGAAAGTATAGGGAACATATATGGCTGAGGAATGAGGATGATCTATGGAAGAAAAGCTAAGGGACCAATTATATAGAATAAATAATAATCTTAGCCATAGACTGAACCTTAAAAAATGAAAAACCTTCATTAACAAAACAGTTTTCATGGCAGAATTTATAACAGTAGTACAGAAAATGAACATGCAGCTTTAACATATGCAAGGTTATATAAATTAGCTTGATGTCTGTCTTTTTATCAACAAGGAAATATCTATTTTTCTATCATTTTCAAAAGAAGGTTCAAAGTTATATATACATTACAATGAAAAGCTAAGTCTATCTTATACATGAAAAATATTTTAGAAATTTTTTTAACATAATAATAATAATATAATCATAGAATTGGAAGAAACCATAGAGGGGACCTAGTCCGACTCCTTCTTTTTACATAAAGAAACTCAGACCCAAAGAGTTAAAATAATTTGACCAGTTTCATTGCTGGTTAATGACACAAATAACGATTAGAATCTAGGTTTTTTTTTTTTTTTCTTATTGTTTCATGCTACTTCTATAAATGGAAGCAAGTTTAAGGAATTTTCTGGAGATACTTCAATACATTTTCTAGTTGTGAGAATAACCATTCAGGAAGAGGAGATTCAGTCTTTAGAACCAAGGTCACTCTAGAGGCAATGCTGTCCAATAGAAGTATAATGCAACCACTTATGTAATTTTAAATAGTTTGGTAGGCAAATTCAAAAAGTAAAAAGAAACTAGTAAAGTTACTTTTAATAATATATTTATTTAACCGAATATATCCAAAATATCATTTCAACGTGTAGACAATATAGAAAATTATTGAGATATTTTACATTTTTTTCCATACTAAATCTTCAAAATCTGTTGTGTGGTTTATACATACAGCACCATCAGTTCATAGAGCCATATTCAAGTGTCAATGGCCACATGTGACTGGTGGCTACCATATTGGACAGCGCAGTCCTAGAATACCGGTGCCTGGTCAGAGTACTAAAGCTCTTCATTAAGTAGGGTTGTGCAGTGAGAGAAGGGTGAGGCAATGAGAGAGATTCTAAATTATGTGGGTGTGATTTGAGAGGGACTATGAAAATCTCCTCCCTCAAAATCCTCATTAACTTTCTCTGGGTTGGGAGAGGGGTTGGGCATCTGAAGAGAAATGCATAACTGGGGTCCTTAGTGGGGCAGAGTGAGGCCTTCCCTGCATCATGACTCACAGTCCTGTCAATTCTCCTAGTAAAGGCTGCTTCTCCAAAGAGAATTTAGACTAGTTGGGAGGGCCTTACCTCTGAGTCCTGGCTGGCCAGGGGCCCAGGTGCCAAGGTAGTACGGCTTCTTGTTGGGAATTAGAAACACCAGGTCTCATTTTAGGTTCAGAAAACAAAACCCAATTCTTTGGAAAACGGCTATCATGATTTTTTTTCTATACTTGTCCTTCTTATAAACCCTTAATGTTCAGCACTGTGGTTTTGAAAATGTCATCTTCTCTTGGATATTTAGGGGAACCAAAGATTTTGTACAGTCC